TTTGGTTATTATTTTGGGAAATGGGTCCCGGTTCGTTACCCCCTTTTTGTTCTCGTTCTTCTTCTAGGCCCGCTTTCCTTTTCATGCTGGTACTAGGCTTTTCCTTTGTGGGTTGGCCTTGGGTGTTTTGATTATTCATGGGCCTGTTATTATTTTTTGAACCTTAGGCTGAGTTTGAATCATGCGCTAGGTTAGTTTTTAAAGCATATTTGAAGGTTTGGGTGTCAAGAAACTTACCGGAGATGGCGTCGAACATCCTAACCCGTATTCCTTCTGATTGTTTGGTTGTTTTGTTGTTCCTGGTTGGAATTACAGTTGGTCGTTCTTGGGTGGGTGGTCCTTGCTTGCGCCTTCTTGGGAAGGAAACAATTTTCCATTCCCCTTCTTCATCGTTACTTTCTTTCGAGTTGGAGCAACTTAGGCTATCGTTTGAAGGTGATGGTGGTGCCTGTTTTTGCTGTTGAGAACATCTTTTTATGGTGTGACCTAGTCTTCCACACCCTGTGCATAATATGTTTTCTCCTTCGTAGACGATTTGATGTTTGTGGTCTCCTATGGTGACGTAGGTTGCAACTGGTGTTTCCAAAGAAACTTGGACATAGATTGTGGCATACCTGCTAATACATTCTATTTTTCTCAAAATAACTAATCTATTTAATGCCAAAATGAAATTAAAAGGACAAAAGAAAAGGGAGAGGTGCGGCATCCTTGCATACACGTCAACAAAGCTAAGCATCGCTTATTTCTTTCACCATACAATGCTTTACCTCATGAGTCATGACTGATCTTTGACCACCAAAAACAATTTTTTTTAAAATTCACAAGATGTAAAAAAGGAGAATTCATCGAATTATGAGGCTCTTGTAAGTTTTTTTTTTCCCTGCATGACGTTGAATTAAAAAGTAAAAAAAAAAGGATTATGTAGCTGAACTAAAAGGATATGTAAATTCAACGTGCAAATGAGAAATATTTGCAAAAGAAATTTTTCTTTTTTTCTTTTTTCTTTTTGAAGGTAAGGGATTTATAATTATTTATTTATTCCTTCTCATTCCAAATCCAAACACATGGAAATAATGTTTAATTTACGTGCCAAACAGTACGTGGTCCTCTCTTTGTAGTTTGTACTCCATTGGCTATTTTGTTGGCCAGTAGCGTATTGACAAATAGCAGTATCCATTCTCCATAAGTAGTAAGTACTCTTCTCCATACCTGTTAGTTGCTGCTTTCTACTCTCTAAAAGCTTCTCCTACATCTCTGGGATTTCATTTTTAAGGTTTGACCTTTTTTAATCCTTATTTATCTTCATGTTTTTGGTTTTCATTTAGCTATGTTTAAGGGTTATTATCAGCAAGTGATTTTCTAGTTCGATCATGATTTTTTTTGTTGTTGTGTGTGTGTGTGTTTGTAGTGGATAAGTTCTGTTACTTAACTTGTTTGTACTTCTACTTAGTTCAGACTGAATAATCATCTCTTGTTTAGCAGCTTAACTTCTTCTTTCTTTAATTTTGTTGAGAGTTTAGTTGCTTGACTTGCTTCTTTTGTACCCATGTTGTCAATTTCTGTTTNCTGGGAGAGTTGATGTTGAATTTCTGATAGCTTGTTTCCTATTATACTTTTGAAACTTGTGAAAGAGGATTCTTTTACTTTTTTTTCCCCAAAAAAATATAGAGGAAGAAGGAAGAAGGGTATTTTCTAGTATTTCTTAAGCTGGGTTGAGGTAGAGCTGCAAATTGTTATTTTTAAAAAGAAAAATGAATTTCTGGGTAAAGGAGGCATTTTTTTGTGATATATTAAGGCTTCATTTGGAAAAAAATGCAAGATTCTGCACTAGCTTCTAACTTTAGCTTCTTAAATAGTGTATAAACGTGAAAATTGATGCAGGGGCTTCCAATTAACTTCAAAAGAAAATTATCTGGGGTATATGAAGTTTTCCACTTTGTATGCCGTGTGAGTATTATGTGGGAATATTGGATGTGCATAGAATTACTAAAAATCAATAAGAAAGAAGTTAGTTCATTATCAATACATCATTCTGTAAACTGGTCATCTTAATTAGGGAAAATCTTGTGATTCTCAAGATATGGTATAGAAATATATGTGCTTGATCTTTTCTCTTTAACAAGAGAGTGATATCTGCAAAAATCTGACATACATATATGTGTGAACACATTTCACTGGTTTTATTTCTGCATCTTTATTGAAGTATTTTCTTTTCTATGGTGGTTTTACTCGAGATTTCTCTTCTGTTAAGACGAGATCATCCCCTTTTAGTAAGTAGAAAATCCCTGTGTATTGTTGTCTTCATATCTTGCTGTCTACTCTTTGATAAGGTTTGATTTCTGTCAACTAAGCTAAGATTGAAAGTTCCGGTTGTGCAGGAACTCCGCGAATATGGAAAGTAAACATCTTTGGCTTTCTCTCCTTTTATGGGTCATCGCGTGCTCTGTACTTTCTGCTTCCTGTGAAAATTTGCTTAGAGTTGGTTTGAAGAAGCAACCCCTGGACGTTAATAGCATAAATGCTGCAAGAGTAGCCAGACAACAAGACAGATATGGGAAGAATATGAATGGCATAGAAAAGAAATTGGGTGACTCAGATTTGGATATAGTCTCCTTAAAGAACTACTTGGATGCCCAATACTATGGAGAGATTGGTGTTGGTTCACCTCCTCAGAAATTCAAAGTTATCTTTGATACAGGGAGTTCTAACCTCTGGGTTCCATCATCAAGATGTTATTTCTCTGTAAGTTGTGCTCTTTTTCGTTAAGTTATTTATCCCTTCACTGGTTTATCAGAACCTTTTCCATAAATTTGAAATGGTTTCAGATTGCATGCTGGATCCACTCCAAGTACAAGGCGGGCAAGTCCAGTACATATACAAGAAATGGTGATCATCATGTTTCTTTGTAACTAAGTACCTTTGTTTTTTATTCATATTTATTGTTTACCAAGAATTTTTAATTAATTCAAGTTGCAGTTCCAGCTATCATGTGGCTTTTCCTTTAATGGTTCTGATTGTATTTTGCTATTTGTTATGATCTAGGGGAATCTTGTTCAATCCGCTATGGAACTGGATCAATATCTGGCCATTTCAGTCAAGACAATGTTCAAGTTGGTGATCTCGTAGTTAAAGATCAGGTGAATTCTTTTTTGGCAACTGGTTTCTCAACATATCATAATATGACCCTTTCTGGTTTTCCGATTGATGACAATTCTACATCAATTTTTCAGGTGTTTATTGAGGCGACGAGAGAACCAAGCATTACATTTATAATTGCAAAGTTTGATGGTATACTAGGGCTTGGTTTCCAGGAAATTTCTGTTGGAAATGCTACACCTGTCTGGTATTTCTCTTCACCTTAGGCGTTCAGTTCATTTGTACCATTTCTTTCTTGTTTCATCTTCTTCTCAGCTTATGGAATCTGCTTGTCTTACTTCTGATCTATTTTCAGGTACAATATGATGGGGCAAGGTCTTGTGAAAGAGCCGGTCTTCTCTTTCTGGATTAACCGTGATGCAACTGCAAAAGAGGGGGGTGAACTTGTTTTTGGTGGAGTTGATTCAAATCACTTCAAGGGTAATCATACATATGTTCCTTTGACTCAGAAGGGCTACTGGCAGGTACTTGAAAGTTTTCCTTTTTTGGCTCTTTTCTCCTACATAACTGCATGCTAGTTTTTGGAGGTTGGTGGTGGGAGCTAAAAGCAGTTCATTTGGTTATGCTATCCTTCATCTATTCTTTTCCTTTTACCTTTTCAGTTTAATATGGGAGATTTCCTTATCGGGAACGCATCAACAGGTGAGTCTGGCTGCCAACACATGATTTCCTTCAATTTCAGATGTTGAGAAACATGTATTTCCCGTTTAATCACCTGTAATCATCTAAACAACTGCTAATAGAGAGTAGCATCTCACATGCAAGATTGGATATTTCCCTCAGTTTGTATATTGGAAAGTATATATTGCCCACTCAGTCATCTACTGCAATACATGTGGAAAGTTTCCTAATATGCAATAAAGCATCTGTTTCTTTCTAGCTCTGTAGCTTTTAAGGTAGGTAGTTATTGTTATCCAGTTTTCATGAGATACACAGATCATTCTCAAAAAAGAAAAAAAAAGAGTTATACACAGACATGTAGAGATATATGTAATCGGCAGTAATCATACC